TCTTATGTTCTTATGTTCTTAAATACATTAGATACCAGTATGAGGTGTAAATATAGTAGTATTACCATGGCTCACTGCTACTATTTCCTTTGTAAGGCAGTGTCAAGACTTCCCCGCTACACCAAGATCTTCCACCTGCACCAGTCAATTCCACATACTTAGAAATGCCTTTTCTGACCTCAATATAAAAGTACTTACAATTTTGAATGAAAAAAGTGTATCTGTAATACAAAGGTAACTAACTAAAATTGATTTAAAAGCCAATATAAGCAAGACGAGTGCTTCTTAGACATATTTGTGGAAAATATTTGTATACGAGACGAGAGGATCAAAATACCCTATAGGGAAGTGTGGCTAGGTTCAGGAAAACTTTCTTAAACTATCTGAGTAAAATAAGATACTGTGAGCAGATTTGTTGTTAATTGTACTTTAGAACATTACACGTCTTGGCTAGTTCGTTCGACTTTCAAAACTCCACGTTAGTAAACCTCAGAAGGTGCAAAAATGTTTAAATGATCCAATGTAAATTTTCCATTATCTCCCACTAGTGCTATGCTGTACTTGGTTGGAAAAGTATGTGATTAGTGTACTGTACTTTAAAGGAGTAAAAATAAAATAAATGAATTGAAATATGAGCGGGAAACTGTTACAGATGGAGTGTCCCAGGGCTACATTCTGGGACCTCACTTATTTACCATATACTGTATATAAATAATTTACAGATGGGATTGAACACAAGACTTAAAATTGCTACAATAAAAGAAAAAATTGACATTCATGCTGATGACTGTATGGTTCTGAGCCCAGGCTGTTAACAATGATTAATTTGAAATAAAAATGCAAACAAGATCTGGAATTCATAATTAGTAGCAATCATAAGGCAAAAATAATTGTAAAATATTCAAAATAAGGCAGATAGGATACGTTGATTCACAACTAGAAACTTCAGTAATACGACATCTAAAATGATTCGACTTTACCTTGCTCTTCTTGGATATCATTTAGATTATGCACTTTAGTTTTGGGCACTGTACAGTACTATAGAATGGATATAAATCCACTGAAACATGGAAAGAGAAGGACGACAAAAGTCAATCTTAGAAACAAAAAAACATCTCCCATATGAGATTAGGACAGCTTAATAAATATCCTCAAGGAAGGCAAAGCGAACATGATTTAAATATACAAATGGATGAAAGACTATAATAAAGGGGTTATTAATAAGGTGCTAAATATATAAACACAAAGACGAACACAATACAATAAATACAAATTAGGTAAGATTAGCTCCAGAAAAGACCTGGGTAAATACAGCAAATTACTAGATAATATAAAAAGTGAGGGATTCCTGGATAGCTTAAAGCATAGGTTAGATATATATAGGAATGAATTTGGTTGGGTATAAATAGGAGCTGCCTCACACGAGCTAACAGGCCTTCTGCAGCCGTGTTGATATAGTGGGTGTTTAACGGTCAAGAGGGCGGGAGGTCTCAGACAAGTGGCTACAAAGGCTCACCCAAGCCTATGGCAGTCCTGCCACAGCCTTAAGCAGGTATGCTAAATATTTACATAAGCTACACACTTACTATATAAATATTACACCTATATTTCCAAAGGTGATAAATAAAATTGTACACACTCTAGCCAGTATACTCTATGTATTTAACCAAATGGAACCAGTTGAAGACACCCATAAGTGCAAATTTTAAAGAATTAAAATACAGTATTAAAAATTGAGTTTCTATGTAAATTAAAAATCATATGTAACTACAGTATATGAAAAATGCTCCATATACTACTGCACTTTATATATTCAAAATTCCATTTTAATACATTATGATATCGATGTCAGAGACTGAAATGTGGATTCAAATTTATCCCTTATTTTTATTTTCTATGAGACTTGGAGAAAATGAAAACAAAATATGGATGTGACTGAAGAAAAATACCAAATAGTCTCAAAAAATATATTTTACAAATATTTTCAGGAGCAATAATGCCATAACTACCAAAATTCTTCAATAAAGAACTTTGCATGTGCAATAACAAGGTTCATTTTCCTATTAGGTATTATTAGCTAAATATGTCAGTTCTTGGTAATTAAACAAATATAAAAGATAGACATTATTAAAGAGTTTCTAGTGTTATATGTCAATTAACGTCAGTTGCAAAGCGTTTTTGTGAACCCTTATACATCAAGTGACATATTCAGCAGTCTAAGGGTTAAACAAATTAATGTGTCATGGTAACTATACATTTATTGAATAAAAAATACACTGCTACTTTCAAAATGAAGAAAACTTTATCTAGAGAGTATGCCACAAGTCTGGCACCACCATTCATGACACCATTCACACTACAACTGCTCACTCCACATATATACCTCATTCATTTATCAATGATAATGGTGGACACATTTAACACATTTTGTGCGCAAAATAAAATAAGTAATAATAAAGTCCAGTTTGATCATTTTGTCCCGTGGTACCCCACACACACATACACATGGGACAGGGGCCTCGTAGCCTGGTGGATAGCGCGCAGGACTCGTAATTCTGTGTTGCGGGTTCGATTCTCGCACCAGACAGAAACAAATGGGCAAAGTTTCTTTCACCCTGAGTGCCCCTGTTACCTAGCAGTAAATAGGTACCTGGGAGTTAGTCAGCTGTCATGGGCTGCTTCCTGGGGTGTGTGTGTGTGTGTGGTGTGTGTGGAAAAAAAAAAAAGTAGCTAGTAAACAGTTGATTGACAGTCGAGAGGCGGGCCGAAAGAGCAAAGCTCAACCCCCGCAAACACAACTTGGTGACTACACACACGGGACACCTGGTACGGCATAGTCGTGCGTCAAGTCATCTGCTGTAACTCAGTATCTTGATAAACTCCAATCACAAATAATCTGACAGCGAGTGATAAACCCTTTCCTATTTAATTAAAGCTCAAGAACATAATATTCCTCATAACTAACTTAGGAGTAATAATTTTGTGGCTGGGACGTGATGGGAGTGCTGTTTGGTACTTAACAATACTGATAATAACCAAGAGATCACCCTTCTTCTATAGCTTCCCCAGGGTTATGTAGAGTATCTTTCATAATCAGGGGGGAAAATAATAATAATAATAATGCCGAGAGCCATTCACAAAACAAATGGTGTGGTCGCGACGTCATTACAACACACACCGAGGCTCAACCTGGAGACTGAAGGACCCATTAGTTTTTCAGGAGGGGTCAGCTCCTTAATTTCCTTCTGTCTGAGACCTCACCACCCTCACCTACCACTTCTCTCCAGCAGAATAATCAATCACGTCAATTTTACACCATAACTTAGCAAGAGGTCACTTCATGCTGCTAGAATCTAGTTCTCATAAATCTAAACAAATTGGAAAATAGAACAAATTTGCACTATAACATAAAATCACTACAAACTTTCTTGGGTAAAAATAATAATGGTTAAGATTGTCTAAAACACTTTTCTCCAAAAGTTCAACCGTCTCCAAATGTAAAACATTTGTGATGTGAACCTCAGAAGATGCCACATATCCATTACACTTTATAAAAATAATAATTCTTATTTTATAATTCTTAAAACTTATATTTACATCTAAAATATAAACACTATACTGTAAATATTTGCTATAATGAAGGCATGATGACTACAGTGGCCTCAGCTTTCTATATACCAAGTACAGTGGCCTCAGTTTCCCGCACCAAGCACCTCAAATACCTTATTTATCTAAGATTACCCAGATAATTATTTCTCTTTACTCCTAAGGTCAACATATACTGTACAGCAGTGTATATATACATTTCCCATAAATTTTTACACGTGATGAAAACTGATCTGTCATGTCGAGCAGTTACGTGCACAGATAATGATAACGACGAATAAAATATCCAGAATTTTATGATAAAAAATTAACATTTCTTACTCTATAAAAACACACAACAGAAACTCCTAAATGTGATAAAAAGCTCAAGAAAGGGCACTGCATCCTCTCAATGAACAATGTGATATTGGTGCTTTACTGGCCAATAGTCAGGCTGACGATGAGAAATTTGGAAATGTTACTCCCAAAACTCAACATTCAGCCTGATAATGAGTAGAGTGGATATGATCCTCGTATAGCGCACACTGCTAACACACACACGTTGTATATCGTGGACCAGTGGGTTAAGGCGCACGGCTGGGAGTATACAAATCCGAGGTTCGAGCCCCCTCATGGTTAATGTTGATTTTCTAGTTGATTAACAGTTGAGGGGCAGGACCAAAGAGCCTGAGCTCAATCCCCGCAAACACAATTAGGTGAGTACTGCCACATTGCAGCATACAAATTTAAAATGCTCCAGAGAAAAATAAGGCATTGAGATCACTGAAACCCCCCCCCCCCTCCCTTTATGACAGGCTCCATGGTTGATTGCCAAGCCAGAGTCCACTCAGAACACTATGCACAGGCTAAGTTCTTGTCAACATTGCTACATAGTAAAGTGGAGAGCTTATTTTTATTCTAAAAGAAAAACCAGTCGTTGTCACCAAAAAGAAGCCTATTAACACTTTCCAACCATAAGTGACAACACAAAGCAAGCCAATTATCACTGCAAAATGTTGAAAACTAGCCACTACTTGACCAGGGTCAGAACTGGCAACCCACACTTCAAGCCTAGGACAACAAAACACGCTTGCAAATTCCAAGAGCAAAGGGAGCAGACAATGCAGTAACCTCTCGATTGCAATGAAAGCAGCATTTAAATTATTTCAGTTATTATTTTTAAGCAAGGCCTCCCTCGATTGCTTTCTCAGTGAATCAGTCCCCATGTAAAACTTTCCCAGTCCCCATGGAGACTTCCACCCAAAAGGAGAGATCCATATTATCTTGAGGTTATCTTGAGACGATTTCGGGGCTCAGTGCCCCCCCGCGGCTTGGTCCTCGACCAGGCCTCCTTTATGTTCCACATCCCCCAGGAAGCAACCCGTAGCAGCTGTCTAACTCCCAGCTACCTATTTACTGCTAGGTAAACAGGAGCATCAGAGTGAAAGAAACTCTGCCTGTTTGTTTCCACTTCCAATGGGGATTGAACCCGGAACCTCAGGACTATGAATCTGAAGCGCTGTCCACTCAGCTATCAGGCTCTATAGGAAAACCAATTACCTGCAGACTTTATCTGCAATTAGCTGTGTGCATGGAAACATGCAGGCACTCTCAACCAAGGTCCTTAGAAAATTGAAAAACCCATGTCTTGACATTACAGTCCTAGTTCCATGACTAATACAGTACAATCAATATATTGTAAATAGGACCACTCCAGGATTCAAGACACTACAAATAAGAGTATTTGTTCTGTTATTTGTTAGAATTGCATTCACTAGGTTGATTTTTGGTGATGTGGGACCTCATTCCCATTTATAGCATGGTGTCTATGGAAACTCATTCCAAATACTGAACACCAGAATACAAACAATTCCATTTGTAAGTTGAGGTTTTGTAAACTGCAGATATAAACAGTAACTTGTATGTTGCTAATTACAGTATCTCCAAAGTGTCGAGAGAGAGAGCTCCTCTGCTCTTGGACGTTGTATAGTGCGATCTTTCTCAGCTGTGGATATAGATAAGACCGTTGAGTCTCCCTGTACCTGCATTAAATTGCATGACCAAGTTCCTATTTACAGTGGGGCTAAAACTCAAGAACAGCCTGGCATCAGATCAGTGTCCTGGATGGACCCTGGCTTGGGGAAGCAAAGTGAGGGAGTCTTCATAATTTAACTGATAAAAATAAATATTATGCAAAAGCTAGTTCATTTACATCCAACAGGTGAAGTGAGCGAGAATAACATAAACAAGAGTTACCGAGGTGTGTAAAGTTACCATGAAGCAGGGTAGTTTCTCTTTTGCCTACCTTGTCTGTATTCTGGGTTTTTTAAACTAAAAAACACCCCGGGTGGGTAAGTGTGTAGCTACCATGCCAGCTTGGTTCACATAGGCAATGGCCACGTAGATCATCTCGAGTCCCTGTATAAATTCCATTCACGTTTGCCAACTTGCTATATATATGATGGCAATGTTATCCTGTCCATGCATACCCGTAGATGTTAGAGTTGTAGTTATATCCACTACCATACCTCTTTTTACAGTCAATGGATGCCAGTTATAGATAGGACATGAGCAGGCGATGAGTCACAATAACGTGGTTAAAGTATGTTGACCAGACCACACTATCCTCTCTCCTATCTATCCTCTTCCTATTCCTATTATTATCTCCTTCTCATTCTGTAGTTATAATAGGAGCTGCCTCGTATGGGCCAATAGGCCCTCTGCAGTTCTTATTCCTACTACTATCCCCTCTACTACACTTTGCTCCTCACCTCTCTCTCTAGCCTATTTATTGCCTGCATCTATTTCCTCATCACAATCGACTTGAGAAAGGTCCAGGACGGACCGAAACGTCGTCGTCCCTTCACCTTCTAGTGTGTGGTCTGGTCAACATAGACATGACATTTAAAAATTATTGCACTGATAAAATATGCAAAAATATGATTATCATTTAATTATACAATACTAAGTAAAGCCCAAATTAATTTTGAAACAATTGTTAAAGAAAAATTCTAAGATAATAAAAACTGGATGAAAGTTCAGCCAAGCAATAAAATTACAGAGAATTCTTTCGACGTTACAAGAATAGCAGTTTTTTAATAAAAAAAAAAACAAATAATTCAAAGAAATTTACAAGGAATCTTTTCAGGAATACGTAATTATCTGCTGTTAATTACCACGATGACATTTAGCTCAAGACTGAGTCAACAAACTACCGTAAAAGATGTGCTTGAACACAGAGAGCTGACACCACTGCAGTACTAAGTGACGGCCTTATTTCTGGCAATGTGTATAAATAATCTGCATGAATGAATGCACACTTGTCTGGTCAATGATCAAAATATAAACCTAAGAAATAAACAAAAGAGAAATTTACATATGATTTTTTGCACAATTACTTTTACATTACATTAATAGACATATGTATATTTTGAAGATAATGTTTGAAGGCAAGGAGTCACAATAACGTGGCTGAAATATGTTGATCAAACCACACACTAGAAAGTGAAGGGACGACGACATTTCGGTCCGTCCTGGACCATTCTCAAGACATTCGACTTGAGAATGGTCCAGGACGGACCGAAACGTCGTTGTCCCTTCATTTTCTAGTGTGTGGTTTGGTCAACATGTTTGAAACAGATTCAATACATGTCTACTCTGCCTTGAAGAATGTAAGTGATCATAAACTAGAGTATAAAATAAACAAATCCATCTACATGAATATGGTGTGAATGGCACATCTCACTGTCTAAGAAGAATAGTAAAATTCAAGGAAATAACTAACATATATATGTATTATAAAAAAAATTAAAACAAACAAAATTAAAAAGGAAGAAGCAGGAAGAAAAAGCCGATAATGGAATGTAGGATGTAATGAAGGGTTGAGACAGAAGAGACTGACAGAAGGGTTAAAGTGGTGGAGAGACTGACAGAAGGGTTGAAGTGGTGGAGAGACTGACAGAAGGGCTGAAGCAGATGAGAGACTGACAGAAGGGCTGAAGTACATGAGAGACTGACAGAAGGGCTGAAGCAGATGAGAGCCTGACAGAAGGGCTGAAGCAGATGAGAGACTGACAGAAGGGCTGAAGCAGATGAGAGACTGACAGAAGGGCTGAAGCAGATGAGAGACTGACAGAAGGGCTGAAGCAGATGAGAGACTGACAGAAGGGCTGAAGCAGATGAGAGACTGACAGAAGGGCTGAAGCAGATGAGAGACTGACAGAAGGGCGGAAGCAGATGAGAGACTGACAGAAGGGCTGAAGCAGATGAGAGACTGACAGAAGGGTTGACAGATGGACAGCAATCATGTGGCACAAGAGGTGCAGGTAACAAGGACATAGATGAGAGACAAGTAGACCTGATTATCCAACAGTGAGGCTCAACATTCTTTCTCATTGTTCAATTAAAGAACAGTTGCACCGTTATATCACTAACATTTGAAAAATGCCAATTGTACCAATTGCTTGTACAAGTTTCCAGCTACCCGACAGATCTTTACCATTTCAAATTAAGCAAAACTCTATCAATTTACAGACATTCCATTTATGGTAGTATTAAAGTATTCACTCAATTCAAGATCCAATATGGAATATGAAAAAGTTACAAATACATAAATATAAAATTTGTTATAAAAATTTATTTTAAAAGCATGATATATATACTGTATATATATTATTAATATGTTTGATGGCTTATATTCCTGGGAGAATTTACTTTCCTGGAGTGAAAAGTTTTGACTCTGAAGGAATACTCTGACCATTCTATTATTTCACTACACTTCTTGGCAAACATATATTCCTATATTTGAAGATCATAAATTCATTATTTTGTGGCATATATAAAATATTTAATATAAAAAAGCAGGTTTATGAAGAGCTTCTCGATATTTTCCACATTTGAACAGAGTCCAAATTGGGATTCTGGGTTTCCTCACCCACACCCGAAGGAGAGTCAGCAGATGAAGAGCGTTTCTGGCCTTTCTTACACTTGGGACCTAACACGTCACGCGGGTTATCAAAGACGTCATCGTTAGGTCCGTCAACCTGCGTGACTGCCACTCGATGATCAACTGTCGTGGAACTAACCCTATTGTTTCCATACTCACAGAACTCTCCGGCGTCGTCATCTACGAGATCCACAATTTCGTATGGGTCGTCATTATACAATTTGTTGGATTCTAAAAAGAAATAATTTTGTTAGAGATTCTACCCCCAGGTCTCTTGATTTCTATGAAAACTATACATATTTTAAGTACAAGAGAGCAGTAAATAAAAGTCTCCCCCATGGGCAGGCCACTCACAAGATACACACAGGGTGCTGTAATAAGCACACATAACAAGAGCAGTGTGTTTTATATGGTCCGGGATTGTAATGAGCACAAGCTGACACAATGAGCAGAGTGAATGTATAATTAGCAAAATAATTGGAATAAGCAGAGTAAGTAATTATTAAAAGTATTAAAATTATTAAAGACGCCAAGCCTAGAATACTATTTTGCACTGCAGGTGAGGAGTCACAATAACGTGGCTAAAGTATGTTGACCAGACCACACACTAGAAGGTGAAGGGACGATCACGACGTTTCGGTCCGTCCTGGACCATTCTCAAGTCGATTGTCGATTGAAGCAATCGACTTGAGAATGGTCCAGGACGGACCGAAACGTCGTGATCGTCCCTTCACCTTCTAGTGTGTGGTCTGGTCAAAATATTTTGCACTATGTCTCACAGAATATTAAAAATTCCTCGATATTATCTAAGATGCCAATAAGAGAGCTAATTTAAACATAAGAAGAGTGATGTTAAAGGCATCAGATTCATCAAAGATTTCTGATCACCTTGAAAAACTGGACTGTGTACAACGAGGTGCACAACTGTTAATGGGATTATGCAGTTGTCATTGTAAAGTGCAGGATTTTGGTGTGCTCTACCTTGCTTGAGGTCTTGTTCTTGGCTACTGTAGCCAAGACCTCAAGGCTTCCCTCCACTTTAATGTGGGCGCCAGATTATAGTACTGGTCCCTGGAAGGTGCTTGTCAATCACCAGAGCCTCGTGAGGTACCCAAGGACACAACAGGTCTCTAGGGGGTAGCGCGGGGAGCTACCAAGGAAGCTCTCCCAGAAAAGCCATTTCCACACACAATAAAGTATACGATTGTATGTATTTTACATCATTTGCATAAAGAAAAACAGATTTTAGATGCCTGAAAATGAATCCAAATATTAACAGAAGTTTACCACTAATGTGTTTAGGCAACCTGCGTACTTACCGTGTGGGATACAACTCGTCTAGTTTATTACACGGCAGCACTGTATATGCTTTATATTCTCCTATTACTTCACTATACAAAGGTTTTCTCCAAGCTGAGGGAGCCAGCCGGCCGAGCGGACAGCACGCTGGACACGTGATCCTGTGGTCCTGGGTTCGATCCCGGGCGCCGGCGAGAACGATGGGCATAGTTTCTTTCACCCTATGCCCCTGTTACTTAGCAATAAATAGGTACCTAGTAGTTAGTCAACTGTCACGGGCTGCTTCCTGGGGGTGGAGGCCTGGTCGAGGACCGGGCCGCGGGGACACTAAAACCCCGAAATCATCTCAAGATAACCTCAAGATAGAAGCTAAAGTCTCTCCCAACTTAATGAAAGTGGAAGATGGGGAAATAATGATTATAGTGCAGTGTGGCCTCTGGTTTCTCAATAAATTTAACCAATTTTCTTTGGATATTTTCTTATTTGTTATTACAAAAGATATCTAACATCAAGACAAAATCAGTCTAAATCAGGTACAGGGAACCGTGTGATTTTTAAAATGGACAAAAAGAATGTTTGTCCGCTCCTTCCTTAATGCAGAAAACTTGAGTGTGAAAAGGAATTTAGAATTTGCACTACTGTTATCTGTGACTTGAAACATTTAGGTACAGTTTTTAAAGTTCACTGCAAGAAAGTTCTCGTGATAAAGGTTTCTAAAGAGAAATGCCCAGTGTACAAATTGTTTATCAGGACAAAACCTGATTTCAGAAAAGTAACTAAAATATTACATTTTACCATACAGAACTATATCTGTATTATTTCTTAATTCAAATTCACTGTTTATTACTGTATTGTGGTTGTAAAAATGCAAAGATGTGGTTATCATCGGCAGGAGCCGGTCGACCGAGCGGACAACATGCTGGATTTGTGATCCTGTGGTCCTGGGTTTGATCCCAGGCACCGGCGAGAAACAATGGGCAGAGTTTCTTTCACCCTATGCCCCTGTTACCTAGCAGTAAAATAGGTACCTGGGAGTTAGTCAGCTGTCACGGGCTGCTTCCTGGGGGTGGAGGCCTGGTCGAGGACCGGGCCGCGGGGACACTAAAGCCCTGAAATCATCTCAAGATAACCTCAAGATCATTTACTGTAAGAAAATCAGCCTAAAGCTGAGAATAAATAATACAATGTTAAAACATGGACAGGAGAGAAACCAGAAAGCTTAAAATTGGCCTAGTTTCACTTCTCCCATTTTAACAACACTGCCAAGACTAAATGCGAACTAACCTTCTTCACGGTTATGACTAATAGATAAGTTGACCCTCTGCTCCAGTTGATACGCATCTGTGAGTGTCTCCAGTGTCTCTAGGGCGTGGGTAAACTCAATCATGGGTAACTGGCTGGTGACACGCAGCAGACGTAGCAACACCCCGTGGGCCAGTTGCTGCTTCTCGGTAAAACCCAGCTCTGTGTAAGAAAAATTGAACACTGAGTGGAATGAAATAACCCCTTTTTGAGTGGCCTGTGTAATTACCTAAGTGTAATTACAGGATGAGAGCTACGCTCGTGGTGTCCCATCTTCCGAGCACTCTGTCATATAACACTTTGAAACTACTATAGCTGTGTGTAGTTGCCCTATGCCTTAGCACTGGACTCTTCAGGGACATGGCCTCTTTGCTAGGTTTTGAGCAACATTTTCCCCAGCAAAACAAGTGAGCTTACAATTATCTTGTCCTATAAAATAGTTGGTGGGGACAGTGGTGGAAATGGGTTTTGGAAATTAAGTACTAGTATACGCTAAGGCCGTATCCAGGATTAATGTACGGGGATCACAAGGCCATCCAGCGATAATTACAACATATAAACAAGTAATTTTAACTGGTAGAAACTTGACAAATGACAGCTGATACATAAATCCCATTCCCTGTCATTTCCATCACTTGGCAGGGAACTCGGTGGAGAGCATACCTTAGTTCACCACCAAAAGCAAGCCACCAACTATGACAACTTTACCATACCACTCCAAACAATATCTGGTAACTTTCAACATTGGTAAGAATTGCACTATTTGATCACCCATTAACCAACTACACAGGCTACATAGAACTACACCAGGTGGTAACCCCACCAGCTAAAGAGGGTTGGAAGTATGAGACACACACAGAGATCACACTAACGTGATGCATCAAATGTTTGTGCCTTGGAGAGGCTACTGGATCCAGTAAGTTCAGTAGAACTTCGGTTTCAACCCTTTTAACCCTGTCGTAGCTCAGTCGATTAAGGCAATGTCTGGGATGCTCCTGGACGCAGGTTCGAATCCTTGTCACGGCCCTTGTGGATTTGTTCATTGGAAGTATGAGGTTATCTTGAGAGGCAAACTTACACAAGGGAAACCACAACTTACAATTTGACCCAGTGCAAAGCCAATAAAAGACGTCCAGATGATGGAAGACGACTCACGAAGGGAAGCATAAGCTACCACTGGAACCAAGAGCAAGAATTCCCAACTACCAGACCTCACACAGGAGCCAAAGCAAATGCACTACTCAGGACAATATCCTTCAAGAGAAGGAAGCTAAAGAGAGAAGACACAAAAACCTTCACACTTAAGACAACTCAACGAAGGCAGGGAAATGCCAGCAGCAACCAGAGAAGACAACTCAGGTCACAAGCAGCTGATGGGAACAAATGATCAAGGAACACACAACATGTCAACATTAAAAACATGCACATTGAGCAATAAAAGAAATAAACAACAGCCCAAGCCAATTACACAGGACAACGTTCAAGGGATAGCCAATATTTAGCTCAAAAACGGTACCCAAAGAATAGTGAGGCACCAGGAGGAAAATGCACTAAGTGTGTGAATGACTAGAGTAGCTACCCAGGACCCTTGGGTCACCAAGGCTGGCATCTGGTGGTGTGGGAGTGGAGCTAATTAGTAGCTGAACTTGGACAACAATTATGTACATAGTTGGCATCAGAGTTGCAAATGTTGGTTTTGGTACACACTACCTTTCTGGTGGAATTTCCATTAGTACTGTTCATCTTGTATCCTAAGACTTCCCTTGCCTCTATGTAGGGGGGCCAGATTCTGGTCCTTGTCTCCACTAGGCACACATGATACTGGTCTGGTGTGGTACCTTGGACTGAAAGACTTCAGGTGGATAGAGTGGGGAAGAGAAGGATGGAGCTTCCCTTTCCCCCAAAAAAGTTAAGGATCAGCAGCAGCATCATTGACCATAGCAGGCAAGGGCTGCAGAAGACTGTAGTGCTAGGCACAGTCGGACAATAAGGCTGTCGCTTGAGAGGACAACTTGGCCAGTACAGAGATCTAATGCCGAGAGATGGCACACACCTGAGGATAAAATAACCCAGGAATCCAACAGGCATAATGACAATAGCAGCAGGAATGTCCAACAACATTAAAAAAGCAGACTTGTTTGTCATACTGGGACAAAAAGTCAGTCAGAGCTTGGTGAATTTGCAGTGTCCCGAGAGAATCCAGTGCTAACGTACAGAGAAGCTACCTAGGAGACCTTGCTCAGAAAATATGTAAATACTTTTGCTAGTTAAAAAACAGCTTATGAGCTTCAAAACTTTTCAACCCAAAGTTATTTTAGTTTATTAACAACCTCTTAGGGCTTCAGAGCTCAAAAATTCTTTAATAAACATAAAATAAGCCAGCATGATTGAGGAAAAATGTACAGGTTTCATAAGTGGATGCTTAAATACGTGATGAATCCTGGGCAGGGCAGGCCTTCTTCCTGGGACAACATACACCAAATTAACAATACACTTTATTATATAATACACAGAAATTTCAGAATGCACAAACTTTGTTTACATGTGTATAGCAACAACAACAAAAGTTACACATACATTACACCACCTGCATCTTGAGGAACTATCTGTGTAAGGTTCCTGGTAGGCACATTACCTGCATCTTGAGGAACTATCTGTGAAAGTCTCTGGTAGGTACATTACCTGCATCTTGAGGAACTATCTGTGTAAGGTTCCTGGTAGGCACACTACCTGCATCTTGAGGAACTATCTGTGAAAGTCTCTGGTAGGTACATTACCTGCATCTTGAGGAACTATCTGTGTAAGGTTCCTGGTAGGCACACTACCTGCATCTTGAGGAACTATCTGTGAAAGTCTCTGGTAGGTACATTACCTGCATCTTGAGGAACTATCTGTGTAAGGTTCCTGGTAGGCACACTACCTGCATCTTGAGGAACTATCTGAGAAAGTCTCTGGTAGGTACATTACCTGCATCTTGAGGAACTATCTGTGTAAGGTTCCTGGTAGACACATTACCTGCATCTTGAGGAACTATCTGAGAAAGTCTCTGGTAGGTACATTACCTGCATCTTGAGGAACTATCTGAGAAAGTCTCTGGTAGGTACATTACCTGCATCTTGAGGAACTATCTGAGAAAGTCTCTGGTAGGCACATTACCTGTATCTAGAGGAACTATCTGTGAAAGGTCCCAAGTAGGCTCAGATTGACAGGTTCTTTTCTTCTTGTGCATTCGTCTGTTGCTGCCGCCATTCACTGACCGCACTCCATTTGTTGAAGAGGAAACCTGAAAACAACAAAAGTTCGAATTTAGTCCTTAGACTATTTATATAAATCTTGTTCATATGAAAGAATAACTATTAGGATAAAATATTACTGAAATGACAGCAGAAGCTCTTGACAGAAATTTACAAGTTGCTGCAGATAATGGGTAGAAGGGCAGATAATCATATTTACAAAAAGGGCCGATAATCAAGGTCAGATTGCCCACACAATAACAAAAACATTAAAAAAGGACACAACCAGAAACTCTCTACCAAAGAACTTGGGTAAAGCTATGTAGTTACAATCCTATAAAACACCACTCCAGAAACAGAAGCACTTTAGTCAAGCGATGACCACTGATGACAGGACACTGAACATGTAGAAAGAGCCAGGGAAACCCACATGCACAGATAGGTGTATGCTGGGCAAGATGAGATGCTATGGAACACCTTACATCCAATGCTGCTACGCACACTTGGCAGCAAACAGGCACCCAAGTCCAGGCAACAGATTAGAGAAATTGCGAACAATTTGATACCAAAATGAACAACGTAGCTCGAGAATCGAGGTCAGAACACTGGAAAGAGTACCTATGTTAGTGTTTGTGCGGACTCCCAGGAAATGCCAGGCCCACATTGAGGTGGGTTGGGGCTGCATACCAGATGTGGGAAAGTGTTTTCCCAGACATGTTCTGGGAAAAGACAAATGGGCAAGGGGAGGATCTCACCAAAGCCAACAGGCCTCCTCCTGTCCTCAACCAAAGATAATCTAAGCCCCCACCACCCCAACCAACAGGAAGGTGAAGCATTACAGAAACAAATTCAGAAAATGTACACATCAAGCAACAAATAGTACAACAGACCTCAGGCTGCAAATCGAGGAGCAAAGTGCCCTTTTGGGGAAGACCTCCATAAAATCATAATACTGCACCTGGTATCCCATTCTTTGAAGTACCAGACAATATTCCACTCACCCCATTTCCTGCAGCAGTAGACAATGTTCCTCCATTCCTCTGGCTCACTCTCTCTGTTGTACGCTGTGAAAGCCTCCCAGGAACTCTGGCTGTGGAGCGTTCTGCCTGTCGGGTTCCAGTTCTCTCCAGTGGCTTTGTTGCCGTCCTCTCTGGAACCCTAGCTGGAAGCCTCTCTTGTGGTTTAATTGTCACTTTTTCCACAGTTTTAATCACTTGTCTCTCCACAGCTTTAACCTCTTCTCTCTCAGAAGACTTATTCAAAATTCTCTCAACTGGTTTAATTATCACTTTCTCTACCGACTTGCTTGCTACTTTCTCAACTGGCTTTATGGTTACCTTGTCCAGGGGCTTCGGTGTTGGCCTACGAACAACTTTAGAGGCAGGTACACTTTCCAGAAACTGTGGAGAGAGATCCTTAGACAATGGTTTCAGGGCTGGAATCTGCATAATACCTTGGCTTGGTGTACTTGTCTGGGTTGACACCTTTTCTGGGGAATTTCTGCGAGCAAAAAATAAAAATACAGCATTAGGTAGTTGCCACATATATAACAGTACAATCAAATCAAAGTGAGTGCAAATTTATTTTTAATATTATGATTTTCCACAATGAAAGAAAACTTGTTTTGGTCACAAGTGTGAAGGAGAAAGGTATCTTTAACTTGGCTTATCACGGGATATGAAAAGTGATGCAATCCTTACGTGGTGAAGTAAAGCATTTCGGGAGTACTGTATGAGTTACAGCAGTGTAGTAAGTACAGGCTAGTGCACAGGCTGGTACAATAGGCACAGACAGGTGCAACAGTACAGAAAATTGGTATTTATGTTTGCAGTGTATGTGGTTACAGTGGGTGTCATAATTTGAGTAGTGCTATATTGGTGGTGGTATGATGGTGAGAAAGGAATGGAGACATTACATTACAACAGAGTACTGATGGGATATAGGCACTGCCGAGATTCACTACTTATATAAATCTAATTTTCAGACCATTCATAATCTGGCCAGAATTCTGAAAACAAATACTGTATTGATAATTATGCAATGTAAAGCAGAACACACAAATTCTGTAATGAAAACTTTACAAGTTGCATTGATCAGAGACTTGCATCAATTTTTCTCATTGCAAAAATAAAGAAATTTATGGAAAATTTGAGTATAAGGTCAACAAAGCTAAAATTTGACACGATACAGAGGAGTGCCACGCACACGTACCCCAGTCCACCGTGTGTCCAGATGCTCCGAGAGGATACATTCTGGTCATAACATCACAATCGATGAACACAAAATAATGGAAGACTTCTGGTCAATTATATAAATAGCAGAGGAAAATTCAGCATCACTATATATATCACTTTGAAGGGACATGAAGACGGAGTGAAGAAATGGTGCCCAACCAAACACATCATCAGGGATGGAACGCCAATCCTGCAAGAAGCTAGGCCGTCACTGTTCCCAACCTGAAGCAAGTACAGGCATTTGCTACACCAAAATGCTATGCAAAACCATTTCGTAAACAAAAATGTATAGATTGTTATTTATTTATTATCCAATTTTTTTTCAGTTGATTTGATTAAAATATGCACAAAAGCATGTTCTATTATTTGCACTAATTAAATAATATTTCTAAACATAAAGGAGTGAAAAAAAAGGGGAATGAATGAAAATTTGTTTATTCTGGCTCTTTGTATACAAGAATGTGTGGAAAGCCTGATGTTTGCAAGCGGCCATGTGGTGCCAGTGCCAAACCACCTCTTGGCCCAAATGCAACTTAGCCCAAAGCTTATGGGTGACTGGAGACCCCTAGATGGCAAAACTCAATTCAACATTATTAGTCAACACCACATAAACACCAGGAAAACAGGCAACCACCGGCAGGTTCACTCTGACTCTCGGATCGCTTTTCACACCCAAAAATTTTGAGACCCAAAGTAAAACCACACACCAGAGAAAACCCACGGGAACAGAGGAACTAATCTACGATTCCAACACCCACAGAGATACATGGCCTCGGCCTCGCAGTGGGGGAACAGCAGGTCTTGCTGAGAATCAATGACTAGGTGCATCTGCAGACGTTAGTGGAACAAGGACAGAACCGTAACCACCAAATGCCACGCAAGAATCTAGCAGGAGAAAACAGATGCATCTCTACCCAGAGCACGAGACTCATTACCCACGGACCAAACTTCTGGACAAAGGCTGGCCAAACTTCTTTGCAATGAGCATGTAAGTCCGAAATGCACATATAAGGCATACTTCTAATAAAGACATAAGCATTATGCCAGTAACCACAGCCCACTCCAACCAGTGGGCCCCCAAACCATCCTGCTTAGATAGAACATTTTGTAACTACAGTACTATTCACTTTACAATCTGAAAAAACCAGTGTTGAATGTAATGAAATGCCATTTTCTGGGTGAGCCCCGGAGGCTCCCTGGAGCCTCAGGGACTCCTCACAGAAAGCTAACACCCAAACTTAAATATTCCTAGGCCTACTATAGCACATACTTGTACTCGCTGACGAACCTTCTCAGGGAAAAGTGCCATAAGCGAAGGCATGGCCAATGGCAATGCCAGTGGCAGCCAGACACCACAGCCTTGACTGATGGTAGGGGACAATGCCAGTGGCAGCCAGACACCACAACCTTGACTGACGGTAGGGGGGGACAATGCCAGTGGCAGCCAGACACCACAACCTTGACTGACGGTAGGGGGGGACAATGCCAGTGGCAGCCAGACACCACAACCTTGACTGACGGTAGGGGCAATGTCATAAGCAGCCAGACACCACAGCCTTGACTGACGGTAGGGGGGGACAATGCCAGTGGCAGCCAGACACCACAACCTTGACTGACGGTAGGGGCAATGTCATAAGCAGCCAGACACCACAGCCTTGACTGACGGTAGGGGGGGACAATGCCAGTGGCAGCCAGACACCACAACCTTGACCGACGGTAGGGGCAATGTCATAAGCAGCCAGACACCACAGCCTTGACTGACGGTAGGGGCAATGTCATAAGCAACCAGACACCACAGCCTTGACTGACGGTAGGGGCAATGTCATAAGCAACCAGACAAAGCAGCCTTGGCCACATGCAGCCAAGGCAAACAAGCCACCAGGACACACAGCAGATTGGTAGTAAAAATGGCAACCATAAAGGCTTAAAAGAAACACAAACACAGGTCCCTACACACGACACAGTAAAATGCAAGGCACCCAGAGGAAAGTGAATGATTGGGATGGCAAGTGGGGACTCTCAGGTCCCAGGGCTGCCATCGGGTGTCAAACGAATGGTGCTAACAACTGGACCTAGACAATGAACATGTATGTAGCTCACATCAGGGTTACAAACACTGTTCAAGCAGCTTCTTGTTTTGGGGCATTCTACCTTTCTGATGGTCGCTCCTTCAGTATTCTGTGTGATCTTGTATCCCCAGATTATCCAATACCTCTCTTGAGGTGGGCCAGATTCTGGTCCTGGGCTCTGGTGGGAGCTCAGATGAGTAGCTCGGGAAACCACCCCAAAATTTCCACGTAGAAATAGTGTGGTCACTTCACACGTCAGAGGTTGAGTGTTCGAGGCTCCTAGTGCCCAAGGCGAATGAAATCTATATGCAAAAATCAGCTGAGAGCCAAGAGCAGTTTGTATAGAGAAGATGGACATATCTCTATGACAAGAGCTGGAAAATGTATCAGATTGGGATATCTGAGAGAGCAGAGGGAACCAAGGCTGAAGCAGCCCCAGGGGTTGGCCCATGGAGTGGCATGTGCTTCATCAAGGTCTCATGATTATGAATGAACTGCTATGAACATCTCAAATGGAGGAAGATATGGAGAGCTCATTTTCAGAAGGACATAGCTGATCTGGAGAAAATGCAACACCGGGCAACAAAAGTCATTCCAGAGTTGAGTCATCTCTCGTATCAGGAACGCTTGAAGGACATCGGACTAACAACACTGCAAACCAGGCATGAAAGGGCGGATCTCATTGAAAATTTTGAAATACTGAACAAGTTAGAGGATGTTGATCTATAAAATTTCTTCAAAAGGTCAAATGTAACACAAATAAGGAGCAATGGTTTCAACCTCAACAAACCACAATGTAGGACCGAAAACAGGAGGTGCTTTTTCACCCGCAGGGTTATTAACCCATGGAACCGCCTAGCCGCTGAAGCCGTAAATGCCAAAACTTTGTCAAGTTTTAAAATCTACCAAAAGATCATTAACGCAAATGGGGGAACCTTTGATGAGCAGCCGGCTTCCTTTCCTCATAGAGGCCACTAGGGTTAGTGGCCCTTAGATAAATCAGGTAAAAACTAAACTCTAGCGAGATTCCAGATGACTTAATAAAGCCTATAGTGGCAGCCTCGATGTTCCTTGCCAAGTTCAATTAAGAAAGGCTTTGTTTAGGCTGGAACTTGAAATTCAGAACGACCAGGAAATTGTACATTTTGGGTACTGTAACTGTTCAGTACCTGGCCAGCAGCCACTCGTGGACACTGGATACCTAAATGAGGCAACTGTTAGGGGTTGCCAGCACCTGAATGCCCTGGAATTAAAGCTCAGAAAGCACCACCCTGGTCACCACCCGGCTAGTGACATGTAATGAAACACCAGAAGGCAGTGTATTATTAACACTTTCGCGTTCCACAGACTGAATAATTCGTCATTTATTTTTCTACTGAATGTGTTCCAACGACGCAATACTGAGTCACTCATTACAATATTTTTTAAAAATTTAAATTTTATCAGATCAATCTGGTAGTGGTTTTAAAATAAGCGCCTTTAGATTGCACACAATTTGATACCAAAATCAAAGATATAACATGAAACTTGATGTCCAAACACTTGAAATATTATAAATAGGTCTATGGTCTGAATATTAAAATATTTGTTAAAATTCTATTTATTGTCCTATTATCTTGGGACTTGTTTTAAAATGTGCGCCTTTTTATTGCGAACAATTTGATACCAAAATGAAAGATGTAACACAAATATTTATGTCAGAACACTGGAAAGATATAAATAAATTTGTGATGATGAGCGTCCAGAATTAAAATATTTGTTAAAAATCCAGTTATTGCTCTATTATTCTGGGACTAGTTTTAAAATAATCGCCTTTTTATTGCGAACAATTTGATACCAAAACGAGCGACGTAGCACGAAATTTGATGTTATCAAATTGAACGAGTTGAACATTAGGTTGCAATGTACAAAATGGTTCTCGTTCATGGGTAACTTTAGGCTTTTCTGCGGGGAGGCACTCCAGCCTTTTGTACATTTTATTCATACACATCTGTAGGGAATTTAATTGCGAACACAATGATACCAAAATGAGCGACGTAGCACGAGAATTAAGGTAAAAAAATGGAACGAGAATGCACATGTTACTGATTTTGTGCGTTTTTGCCGACTTTACGCTTTGCTGTTGGGAGTCACGCTAGGCTTTTGGACATTATATTTATACACACCTGTAGAGAATTTAATTGCGAACACAATGATACCAGAATGAGCGACGTAGCGCGAGAATTAAGGTGAGAAAACTGGAACGAGTATACACATTTGAGTGTCACCGCGCGCTTACCCGCACGGAGGGGCCACGATCCCCCTGTCAACCGCGAGTTTCCACGGAGCGCGAAAGTGTTAATGAATAGATGATACAGTATTTAATTTTCAATGAGATAATTAAAGCCAAAGATGGTTCAAATATAACTGAGTAAACTATACTGATTTTCTATAACTAGACGAACACTTTCATCAGTAAACGTTGCTACTTGTAATATTATAAAACAATTTGAATATACTTACATATAAGAGTTTGGTGTATGTCCTTTTATGGGAAGACTGTGAAAAATGATAACAATTTATATGCTACAGTGCTGAATAAATTAGATTTCTAATATGACAATACTCCTACTGCAAGCGATGAGTCACAATAACGTGGCTAAAGTATGTTGACCAGACCACACACTAGAAGGTGAAGGGACGACTACGTTTCGGTCCGTCCTGGACCATTCTCAAGTCGATTGTCCAGGACAATCCATCAATCTGGAGAATGGTCCAGGACTGACCGAAACATCGTCGTCCCTTCACCTCCTAGTGTGTGGTCTGGTTAACATACTCCTACTGTTATCTTTAATGTGACACATTATAGCATCAGTTACTTGTCTATAATTCACCGATATTTCTTTTTCCCCCGTCCTCATTCTTGACCCTTTACTAGCAACAATGTTTCCTTCAAACCTTCTCCTCAGACTGCCATGAACATGCCTACTGTTTTGAATTATTATTGGAGGTACATGAAGAGGCTTCAATTCCAGTTCTCCTGGATGCTCTCTCAGAAGTTTCCGAGTGTTAAATGCTACTTAAAATGTTTCTAACTTTTTAATTCTGTACAGTAAATAACTATAAATATTCATCATACTCAAAGTACTGAAATCTGTTTCTCGCCGTGAACATTAAAATGGTTTCAAAACACTTGTCTGCGTCTTCTATATTGTCTTGGCAAGTTCTGTTCTCCTCTTTCTCAAAGTCTAGCAAATTCTTCTGGGTATTTTCTGTACATTATCAACAATGTCACCATCTTTTTCACACAAAATCAATTCGCATATCTGTTGCTGCAGATTGTGATTAATTCTTTATGAAGATCAATAGACTTCCCTTCACACAGGCAAGGAATTCCCGACTTATTTTTTCTTTTAAAATATTAAAGTCTATAATGTTAACATCAGAAAAGAGACCAGTTGTGGGCCAGATTCGTTGCAGTCATGATTCAAGAGCAAATGCTACAGTTAAGGATTTGCCCCCCAGTAAATCCTCCCCGGCCAGGATACGAACCCATGACAAAGCGCTCGCGGAACGCCAGGCGAGTGTCTTACCACTACACCACGGAGACTAGATGCACCATTGCAGATCACTGCCACACACACACTGGCATGGTGGTGCCTAGCACTCTGAAGGTTAACACGCATATATGAGGCAAGGGCAGGGTTTGTGGGCCAGGTCCAAACTGAAAATTTATAAATGGAAGGTTCGAAAAAAGTGAGTTTGGAAATGGGAACACTGTATAGATTATAATTTCTTCTAACGTTGCTTTTCTGAGCAGAATATCTTCAGTTTCTATTAAGCTCAGGGCCAGAGTGCTGTACCTGGTTATTGTCCACACGCCAGGCTTTGTCAACCATTAACGCCACTGCGACAAGAAACATTTTAAATGGTCTTTTAGCACAGTATTGTGGCAAGGAGACTGTGGCAAACAGAGATCAGTCATACCTCTCGAGGCATACAGCTCATTCTAAAACAAAGAATAAATTGAAATTCTCAACATCTTCTCCAAATAATAACTGGCAATACAAAGATTATGAAAACTATCAATAACTCTCCACCACCTGATAGCCACCTGCTGGCAATCCCAGATCCCTGAACCACTTGTCAAGACATTATTTACCCACAAAAATAAAAGGATTTACTTGGTACCTCAGTTCAAACTGTTCCTGTGCATCTCGAGCACTACCCACAACCACCATCTCGTTGGGAGAGAACTGAGACTTCTTGATTTTTACAGTTATTTTTTCGTAGCCGGCCCCAGAGACGGGCGTGTGAGGCCCTTCTGGCGTGACACCAACTGGAGAGATGGACAGAGGTAGACATGGTGTGGACGGTGTCCCGGTTCTGTTAACCGGGGATATAGACACTAAAGCTTCTGGCGATATGACAGTCACTGACTCAGGCACGTGACTTGGAGGAGACAGACTCTGGAAAACAATACAAGCAAGAAAATAAATACAGTAAATTCTGCAAATGTGACACTTGTTAAAACTACTAACTTTGAATATATTTTTAGCTCTTCAGTATAATTTATCATTTAATATAATAATTAAAGTGAGTGACAGTTGGCCTAAAAACAAAATATAGAATATCCATATTGACATTGAAAATTATATACAGTAAAACCTCAGTATTCGAATAGATTCCAAATTTAACTTTTTGGCATTCGGACACCGTGTTCATATTCGGTATTGGTCCGTTTGCTCGGCATTCACACGTAAACACGCGTCCCTGACGCACCAGTTTCACCACAGCCGTCCTTCAGTGCACAACCCACTACACTTTTCTCTTGAATATTTTTCAGATTTCTGATATTCTTAGTGTAAATAACTCCCCATGTCACCTAAGAAAGTTAGTAATAAGAGCCAAGCAAAAAAAGAAAATGGTTAGAAACACGGTAGAGATGAAGAAAACCATCATGAGTAAATTTGAAAGTGGTGCCTCCGAGTCTGCTCTTGTTACCGAGTTTGGTACTGTATGCCTAAATCCAGTTCTCTAATAAGAGAAATATGTGCAAAATGGGGGGAAAAGCAAAGTTTTCTTGAAAAATATCAACCTAACAAAGCTGTGACAAACCGTGTTACAAACCTCTTGAATGACAATGCCATGTCTCACTTCAGAAACACATTAAGACACAGGCAAAAGCAATCGTCCTTGAACAAGTTTCTTGTAAGAAAAGCATCCAGTGAGGGAATCTTTTTGAGGGAAAACAGAAAAATGAGGGAAACAGAACAAGACAGAAAAGGGAAAAGAACCCCAGAAGCACAACTACCAGAAGTTATAATAGTAAGAGAGGGGGGGGGGGACTCTCCGGCCACTGAACAACGTCTCTCTTCCTCACCACCTTCCACATGTGTCATCAACTTCCCCAAGTGTTGGGAAATTGTGTGCTGTCTGAGCATTTATTTCATTTAATTTTTGCATTAATATATTTATTTTTGAGGTCTGGAAAGGATTAAACCAATTTACATTTTACTTATATTATATATATATATAATTATATATACTATATATTTATTTGGAAGAGGGATATGGAACCCACTATGCAAGAATAAACACAATAAAATATGATATTCAATTATGCCAAAGAATCAACATAGGAAGATATTAAATGACTATTCTGAACACTTTTGTTAGCCTATGTTTGGATAGGATAGATTAACTTATTTTGCTAGGATAGATTAGCTTATACTTGGCTAGGATAGATTAGCTTATACTTGGCTAGGATAGATTAACTTATACTTGGCTAGGATAGATTAGCTTATACTTGGCTAGGATAGATTAACTTATACTTGGCTAGGATAGATTAACTTATACTTGGCTAGGATAGATTAGCTTATACTTGGCTAGGATAGATTAACTTATACTTGGCTAGGATAGATTAACTTATACTTGGCTAGGATAGATTAACTTATACTTGGCTAGGATAGATTAGCTTATACTTGGCTAGGATAGATTAGCTTATACTTGGCTAGGATAGATTAGCTTATACTTGGCTAGGATAGATTAGCTTATACTTGGCTAGGATAGATTAACTTATACTTGGCTAGGATAGATTAACTTATACTTGGCTAGGATAGATTAACTTATACTTGGCTAGGATAGATTAGCTTATACTTGGCTAGGATAGATTAGCTTATACTTGGCTAGGATAGATTAGCTTATACTTGGCTAGGATAGATTAACTTATACTTGGCTAGGATAGATTAGCTTATACTTGGCTAGGATAGATTAACTTATACTTGGCTAGGATAGATTAACTTATACTTGGCTAGGATAGATTAACTTATACTTGGCTAGGATAGATTAGCTTATACTTGGCTAGGATAGATTAGCTTATACTTGGCTAGGATAGATTAGCTTATACTTGGCTAGGATAGATTAACTTATACTTGGCTAGGATAGATTAGCTTATACTTAGGATAGATTAGCTTATACTTGGCTAGGATAGATTGGCTTATACTTTTCTAGGATAGATTAGCTTATTTGACTAGGTTAGCTAAGGTTATGTTGGATAGGGTTCAGAATTTAAGGATAACTCGTATACTGTACTGTACATTTAGAGTAGATAGAGTAGGTTATCTTGAGGTTATCTTGAGTAAACCGAAATCAGTTTTGGAAGAAATTGACATGCCGACACTACACACTAAGACGACTACTATACCTGGAACTGGCCTGGACTCTTGGCTTGGGGTTCATGAACATGGGTGTCATAGACGACCAAAGTACGTGCATCGGGACTCAGACGGAGTCTCACAAGACGCGGGCACCGCTCGCTGAAGGCAGAGATAATATACTCTTAAGTTCTTGCTACACTACTCAATACAAAAAATTAATTACGACTAATATATCTCACAATTGTTGAGGCTGTGTAGAAGTGACAATAATCAATGATATGTTCATATAAAACACATTAAATTAAAAAAAATAAAATGCGGAAAACAAAAAATAGTAAAGAGTATAGTCAAGATATGTGATATACTGTACAATATTAGGTAAAGGTTGATTAATAATGATTAAAAATGATTTTTATTGATTATAAATATGAACGAGTTAAATGTCTCTTAACTAATAACAGATAGCATGACAAGCCACCTCTCTCCACCTCAAAAAAAAAAATTATTTAAAAAGTTTTTAAAAGTAAAAAAATTTGTCCAAAATACAGTACAGTAACTTAATCTATATATGTTATTCCTCATCTGCCTAAGACTGGCAAAACTTGCCATAATTTAATAATTAATAAAATTATGCCCCAAAAAATAAAAATTTCTAAAAATATTTGAAAATAAAATTATGCCAAAAAATTAACAAAAATTTTAAAAAATATTTAAAAATACATCGAGGCCCCGCCCAGAGCCCCAGTGGGGCAGGTAGGTAATTATCAGGCTGAAGTGCTAAGCCATTACAACTATATAGCACTCCGAAGAGATATTAGAATAATGACTTGAGATAGAATAGAGTATAGGAATAGTGCCCAACTGGCTTGACTGATCTGGGGGTTGAACGGCCACCTGCAACAAGCCACTTTAACGACCAGTTGAAGTAATTAGAACATTGATATGGGAAGATCCCCTCAGGAGAGATGCCACTATACAAGACAAGAGGGTGGGGCACCATGTCTTAATTATATAACCAATAACGAGACTTTTCTTGAATTCTGGGTTGTTTTACCAGTGTGGGCAGGTGTGGGGAGGTATGGGGCAGGTGTGGGGCAGGTGTGGGGGGGCCCCGACCACACCCACGGCCCCCCCAGCTCAGGGGGGCCCAAAACTCCCGGAAAAGGCACAAAACAAAGGGTTTCGGTGAGGGTCGAGTAGTGAGGGGGCGACGACCCCCACACTGCCCCGTGGGGGTCCTCACCCCCTCCCACACCCCAGCAGGTGACTTACTCATTCCCTGGCCGTCCTGGCCGCCCGTTATCCACAGAACACTGATAATCTAATTCGCCATATTTCAAACGGAAATTGAGGTCCCGCATCTGGTCGATGGTGAGGCAATAGTTCTCCAGTTTTACCGCCTTCTTGAGCACCAGTCGCAGCCCGTAGATCTCCCGGTGCCTGTCTATGGCCTTGTTCACGTCCCGGTAGCAGATAAAGCTCCTCCCCATGTGTAGGGGAGAGAAATGTGCTAGTGGAGGTGGCTGCATTGTGTCAGGAAGTCATCGGAGCGGCCCTCTGTGACTGAAGCTCTCGCCGCCTCCGTATCCCCGCCCTACTCTCTTTTCCATCTCTCTAATTAAACAATAACATTATACTATACACTGAAAATAGATTATTTCATATTTTTAAATAGTTTTAGGTATTATTTATTTAATAAGTAAGTAATATTTTTGTTAAATTGAAGATATGGAGGAAGCCGAAGCCAGCGTGTGGATGCTGGTGCGGACGGTGATGAGCCCGGCAGTCACTCTCACAGACTTGTATTATATTTTCTAATTAATTGACTAACTTGTCCTCCTGGGCCAGGGAGCCGTCCACCCCCCCCCCCCCCCACCTCATCCTCCTATATCATCATCATCTACTGACTACATCATCACTAGTGATGATATAGTCACTATAGTGATCATCACTAGTGATGATATAGTCACTATAGTGATCATCACTAGTGATGATATAGTCACTATAGTGATCATCATCACTAGTGATGACCCCTACTATATCATCACTGGTGATGAACACAGCTAGTGGAGCAAGCGTTGCCATTTTGGAGGAGGCCTATGTGAATGGTGCATGTACGATTGATTGATTGATGAAGATTAAGCCAGCCAAAAGGTGGCACGGGCATGAATAGCCCGTAAGTGGTGGTATAATGAGGAAGGAGGCGCCACATAATAACTCTAGGATAATATATATATCTATAAGACAATGTACAAGCAATTGTAGGCCAGATGCATGGGGCTTGCTTTACCCAACTTTGCAGGGGGTGTGGTCTGAGGTATGGGCCCAACCACTTGGGGTGGACAGTAGAGTGACGGTCTCGCTTCATGCAGGTCGGTGTTCAATCCCCGACCGTCCAAGTGGTTGGGGCACCATTCCTTTCCTCCCCCGTCCCATCCCAAATCCTTATCCTGACCCTTTCTCAGTGCTATATAGTCGTAATGGCTTGGCGCTGTCCCCTGATAGTTCTTTTCCCCTTCCCCCAAGAAATGCTATGATTGAGATAATAAGGATGGAATTGAATCTGAAGAGTATTGGGGGTTCACCAAACTACACACTAGAAAGTGAAGGGACGACGACGTTTCGGTCCGTCCTGGACCATTCTTAATCGACTTGAGAATGGTCCAGGACGGACCGAAACGTCGTCGTCCCTTCACCTTCTAGTGTGTGGTCTGATCAACATATTCCAGCCACGTTATTGTGACTCCTCGTCTGCATATTGGGAATACAATTTCAGAGATAAATGTAGCCTCTGCCATTGGATTAATGAGAGATGGGGGAGCTAATGAATTAATCCTCTCAGTTCAAATGGTGGAAAGTAATGAACAATGTATATGATAAAGAAGAGAGCATATACGAGTACCTTGTTCCAAGGGGTTGTCATAGCCAGGGGGTGGTAATGGGGGACGAGCTCCCATGACCTATAAAATGCTCCTATACGTCATGCGTCTCCAATAGCCTCTGACAACCAAGTCCAACTCCTGGCGTGCACGGGTGGCTTAGTCTTTAAGTCCGGCGGAACTGCTTTTACCGACAGGAGAAGGGGCGAGGGCGTGCCTCTGGCGCCTTAAAACCAGCTGCTCCGGGTAGATGGGACTCGATAGCCTGGGAAGGCAGCTCATCTAGGGGAAGGAAAACCCTGATTTTAAACCTCCGCTGCCTTGCCGCCATACCCCTTTTTTGGGAAAGGCTTCAGGAGTCAACCTCGAGGAAAAATCCGGAGTTGGAGCCCCTAAGGCAGTTCGTTGTTGACGTCGACCTCGTTCTGGCAGCTCCTGCGACGTTGCTGGAACCATGTGTATTGGCATTTGCCTTTCTATTGGATAATTTCAGCAACGTGGAGAGGGGGGGACTTGCTGCATGGGTAACAGCTTCTCCTCCATATCTACCTACCCAGGCTTTGCGCCCTGTCAGGGCGCAACTCCATAGTCTTTAGACTGTAGGATGCCTACTACTACTATACGAGTACCTTATGTTCTAATGTTATAAAGTATGATGTTATTACAGAGTGTATTGCTGTGCCCAAGAGACAAGTCACACCTCCATGAGAGGATTGTGGGCATAGATTGTGAACTGAGGGCAACATAGGATTGTATAATTAGCAAATTACCTACAGAAAACACTCTACATGTATATTGTGATGGGTCAGTAGCTAGGGATGGGAAGGCAGGATGTGGAGTCTTGATCAGGGAGTACACTGACATCGACACTGTAGATACTGTTATTGGACGCCGCTTAACTGACAATGTCTCTTCAACGCAGGCTGAACTCCAAGGAGTATTAGCAGGATTACAGGAAGTAGTCAAATGTGGTAAAAATGCCTGCTTCTTTATTGACAGCAGAGGAGCGTTAGAGTCTTTAAATAGCAGACGCCCAGTATATCAGAATATTGTGACAGAGTGTAGAGAGAATGTTCAGAAATTAAAAAGAACTGGGTATAAAGTAAGATTCATGTGGATCCCTTCACATGTGGGAATACTGTTGAATGAGGTAGTTGATGACATAGCGAAGAGAGCCACAGAAAAAACTTAACCTTGAAACAAATATAAAACAAGAATCAAGATGATCCAAAAAGTAAATAATTAAAAAGTAAATAATTGATGTTTACTAGTGACTTACAGATGTTTACTAGTGTCTTACAGATGTTTCCTACTGTCTTACTGATGTTTACTAGTGTCTTACAGATGTTTACTAGTGTCTTACAGATGTTTACTAGTCTTACAGATGTTTACTAGTGTCTTACAGATGTTTACTACTGTCTTACAGATGTTTACTAGTGTCTTACAGATGTTTACTACTGTCTTACAGATGTTTACTACTGTCTTACAGATGTTTACTACTGTCTTACAGATGTTTACTACTGTCTTACAGATGTTTACTACTGTCTTACAGATGTTTACTACTGTCTAACAGATGTTTACTACTGTCTAACAGATGTTTACTAGTGTCTTACAGATTTTACTAATGTCTTACAGATGTTTACTAGTGTCTTACAGATGTTTACTACTGTCTTACAGATGTTTACTAGTGTCTTACAGATGTTTACTACTGTCTTACAGATGTTTACTAGTGTCTTACAGATGTTTACTACTGTCTTACAGATGTTTACTACTGTCTTACAGATGTTTACTAGTGTCTTACAGATGTTTACTAGTCTTACAGATGTTTACTAGTGTCTTACAGATGTTTACTACTGTCTTACAGATGTTTACTAGTGTCTTACAGATGTTTACTACTGTCTTACAGATGTTTACTAGTGTCTTACAGATGTTTACTACTGTCTTACAGATGTTTACTAGTGTCTTACAGATGTTTACTACTGTCTAACAGATGTTTACTAGTGTCTTACAGATGTTTACTACTGTCTAACAGATGTTTACTACTGTCTAACAGATGTTTACTAGTGTCTTACAGATGTTTACTAATGTCTTACAGATGTTTACTAGTGTCTTACAGATGTTTACTACTGTCTTACAGATGTTTACTACTGTCTAACAGATGTTTACTACTGTCTAACAGATGTTTACTAGTGTCTTACAGATTTTACTAATGTCTTACAGATGTTTACTAGTGTCTTACAGATGTTTACTACTGTCTTACAGATGTTTACTACTGTCTTACAGATGTTTACTAGTGTCTTACAGATTTTACTAATGTCTTACAGATGTTTACTAGTGTCTTACAGATGTTTACTACTGTCTTACAGATGTTTACTAGTCTTACAGATGTTTACTAGTGTCTTACAGATGTTTACTACTGTCTTACAGATGTTTACTAGTGTCTTACAGATGTTTACTACTGTCTAACAGATGTTTACTAGTGTCTTACAGATGTTTACTACTGTCTTACAGATGTTTACTAGTGTCTTACAGATTTTACTAATGTCTTACAGATGTTTACTAGTGTCTTACAGATGTTTACTACTGTCTTACAGATGTTTACTAGTCTTACAGATGTTTACTAGTGTCTTACAGATGTTTACTACTGTCTTACAGATGTTTACTAGTGTCTTACAGATGTTTACTACTGTCTTACAGATGTTTACTAGTGTCTTACAGATGTTTACTACTGTCTTACAGATGTTTACTAGTGTCTTACAGATGTTTACTACTGTCTAACAGATGTTTACTAGTGTCTTACAGATGTTTACTACTGTCTAACAGATGTTTACTACTGTCTAACAGATGTTTACTAGTGTCTTACAGATGTTTACTAATGTCTTACAGATGTTTACTAGTGTCTAACAGATGTTTACTACTGTCTAACAGATGTTTACTAGTGTCTTACAGATGTTTACTAATGTCTTACAGATGTTTACTAGTGTCTTACAGATGTTTACTAGTGTCTTACAGATGTTTACTAATGTCTTACAGATATTTACTAGTGTCTTACAGATGTTTACTAGTGTCTTACAGATGTTTACTAATGTCTTACAGATATTTACTAGTGTCTTACAGATGTTTACTAATGTCTTACAGATATTTACTAGTGTCTTACAGATGTTTACTAGTGTCTTACAGATGTTTACTAGTGTCTTACAGATGTTTACTAGTGTAGTGAATCACCGTGGTGTTGTATTAATAGTTATCAATACATTCCAGTATCTTTTGTTGTAATACATCATTACGACGTATTGGGTCATCAAAATTGTACTCGCCTGGTTGTACTGTATAATGTATAGAACTGTCCAGTATAGAACTGTATTGAACAATAATTATGAACTGTTCACAATTTATTTATTTTTTTTTCGGAGAGAAAAACTCGCGCCTAGGGGGGGGGGACTTAATTATTATGTATAAATAATTTTATAAATAATAAATTTATGAATAAGTATTATAAATGTCACTTATAAGTAGGTACATGGATATAACTATAGATGCAGGTATAAGTATTACATAAGTAAAGGTAGGTTATATAATTATTGTTAAGTATGAAAGTAAGTATTATAGTATGTAAGTATAGCAGTTCACAAATATAAATAAATAGTTACATTTATATTTTTCTCCGGTTAATGGTAGAACTTAATTGTGCCTTCATT